GTCCTATTTTCAAGATGGCCGGCTGAAGAGGGGTGCTGATCGAGTGTGTATAATCTTAGTTTGTTTGGCCGTTTTTTTGTTCGTTGAGATGAATAGAAGATAAACTATAACTAGGTCTTTCCTTTGTATGGGCTTCAGGTAATTATTTTTGAATTTTGAATTCGTTGTGAAAATTGTTTTAATTATAAACTTTTTCCTTCAGCAAAATGGCTGGTAGTCTATAAGCTTACTTAATATTGTTTCATCATTTTATTTAGTAAGCTTATACTCTAAGACACACGTATGATCGGAAACAGGAATACTTCCAGATACAGTGACTGCATATAGCGGTATTTCATTTGCACGTAGTTTTTTGTTCAATTAATGTATTGGAATTTATACTTAGCTTAATATGTAGCTTATTTAAAAATAGTTAAGCCTTAAGTTAATTGTTATCTTTTTCTCAGTAATTTTATATTTGCTATTTTTAAAATGCACATTTGGCTTTCAGTATTTACCCGGCAGTCAGGCATGCTTCCACACTTACTAGGTAACTTTTAACTTAGAACAATATCATCATTTGTAGCAGCTATATAAAGATTGTTCAATTATATCATCATTAAGTACTTCAGGTTGAGCATCAGCTGTTTCTGCTATATCAGTTTTGTAATCCTTATAATTTAAACAGCAAACTCTGCTAGGCACATGTTAGTTACTGAAGTGATATAATTTGGTTATATTTGGCTTCCAGTATATAATTACCTGGCAGTCAGGCATGCTACCACACACTTACTATGGAGTAACTTTTAACTTAGAACATTCCTGAAATAAGTTGTCAWTTTTTTTAAACTTTTGGYAATTTAATAAGATTTTACATTRTGTGCTTTAGTTTCCCTTTTTTGTAGCTACATGTTGATAAAAGATCTGAAATTGTTGCATTATTAAGTTATCTAAATGCAGAACTTGATTTTCTAATATTTTGGATATCATGTACTTTTTGTATACAGTGCATGTTATYTCAATGGTAAACAAATATTTTTCCCCCATCATTTACATTAGCAAATATAAATCAGGCATATAAGAAGGCTGGGAATCACATCATTGATGAAATTGATAATTTGAAATTCCAAATAATTGATACTTTGGTTGACCATCCTATACCGAGTTATATTACGTGCAATATAGTTATTTATAAGCTACTTCACAGTTTAATTGTAATTTTTACGCATTCATGATCAGAATAATAGACACTTATCACTTCATTTTTAACTTTGCTATTAATAYGTTGTTGGACAAATACTTGGTCCAGTAGACTGCCACTTGATATAAATGTTGACTCATTGACAATTTGGCAATATCCCAAAGAAGTCAGTTGCTGTAAGAGTGAGTTGTCAGTAAAGTGATTGATATTAAAATCACCTAGTATGATATGAATTGTATTTGATTGAATAATATCAGAGAGACTTTGAATATACTGTTGGACATTGGAGTAGTTTTTTCTATAAATTAGGAGGAATGTCAATGATTTGCTGCTGCTTGTTTGTCGTATATCAAACATCCAAGCATTAATGTTTTGAAAATATTGTTCATTCAATACATCTGTGTTAGATTTATTACATAAAGCCAAACTAAGATACTTGTCATTTGGATGGTCTTGCCTATGCAGTTCATAAGGATGCAAAYTGTCTTTGATAGCAATGTCTGAATGATGAGGTAAAAGTTGGGTTTCTGTCAGAGCTAAGATATCGGATTGTGTGAGGTTTGCATCATGTTTTATATCGATACTATGCTTTCTAAGTGAGCGTATGTTTAATAAGATTAAAGTAAGAGMATCAGGATCAGTCACAGAAGACGTATTTGTGTAAGTGAACTGTTGTCGTAATTTATCATACTCAGCTTGTACTTTAGGGTTTGCTCTTATATGTTTATTTTCTATTTGGCCAATGACATGTAACCCTTGTAAAGATTTTGCTCTGCTTAGTGCTACATAAATTTGTCCATAGTTAAAATGGTTTTGCCTATTCAGATCAAAACTAACAACAATGTCATTGAGTGTAAGMCCCTGTACCTTATGAACTGTGCATYCCCATGCTAATGTTATAGGAAACTGTACTCTTTGTAATTCAGGTGAAGATGGTTTACCTGGCCTGATCTTTATTCTTGCATGTACAGGTTGTATTGGCACAGAGTGATTTTCTCTAGCATATTGATCAGAATGCTTTTGTATGGCATTGATACCAGCTTGAGAGTCATCAAACTTTATGTAAACAACAGAAGGCCTGTTTGTGTTGGGATCGATAGCTACTTTTGTTACTGTACCCATTTGACCATTTATTAATCTATCACTTATATCTATATTTGTGGTTATCATCACTCGAGCATTAACTTTAATTAATATTTCAGAATCAAGTCCTCCAGTTTCAGACCTTCCTCTTGCTAATACCCTATCAATGTCTTGTTTCGTAACATGTTGTGGATATTGATCTATTGCTTTCAATCTGTATAATGGCCCACTAAGTTGATCTAGGTGTGTATTATTATGCTGATCTACAGGTGCATTTTCTGCAAAGATATGTAATGCCTGTGATGGGTAATCAGTTTGATTTGATTTTAAAGCTCTGGATTGTATTATTTGAAGGTCATCTTCAGTTTGTGAAGCAGTTCGAAATCTGTTCAGTAATTCTGTAAATGCCTGGTCATCTTTTTGTCTCATAATCTTGGTTAATTCTAACATCTGAAATACTGACCATGGATGGCATAAATTAAAAATGTCGTTTTTATATTGTTCAAATACAGGTTGTCTACGTATAGGTGGAAGTTGATATAGATCACCTACTACTATGATACTAAGTGCTGCAAAAAGCTGATCATTTGGTGTAGCAAAAATGTCTTTTAGTCTTTGATGTATATTCAGTAAAATAGTGTTTGATACCATAGAGATTTCATCAATGATTATTAACTTTAAATTAGATAAAGATATTCTGATTTGGGTTCTTTTTTGATCAGACATTGGAGACACATTCTCACTTGAATCCTTAGCTATAGCTAATGCAGTATGTATAGTAGTACCATTAATATTGATAGCAGCCARACCTGTTGGAGCCATTAACAATACAGTTGGTTTTTCAGGATTAGCTGGACCTTGTCTGAATGTTTTTGTAGCAGTGTGATATATTGTTTTAATAACATGTGATTTCCCAGCTCCTGCACCTCCTGTTATGAATAAATAGATAGGGTCTACTTTCTGTGGTTTTACACTGTTCATGTTTTTAACCTTTTTCCTACACCAAGTAAGTACAATGTCATATGCTCTACGTTGTTCTGCATTTAGTGATCTCACAGACTGGCGGAGTTCATCGTCAGATATTTCAGATGGCTGTATGTATGAAGATATTGCAGAAGGTATTYYTCCATTCTGTACATTGCTCAGGTGGTCTGGTGAAAGMTTATTAAATGACTCTTCATTATTTAAATTGTCTTCAGCTAGTTGTGATTGTAAATCTTCATTTTCTTGATCATTGATAGGATCATATGAGTGAAGTGTGCTAGCATCATTGTTTCTAAGTGCCTCTAATGCTTCAATGACTGCGTCAGAGTCTGGTTCAAAAACATTTCTATTTTTTTCTACTAATGCCTGTACATTTGGCTCACAGAATTTAGACATGTWYTTGTGTTGATRACCAAGAAGKTCAGTTTCTTCTCGCCATGGATAATATAACATGAGGAGATGATGGAAGTACTTTTCAGGTTCCTTTGTTTTACTTGGTGTGTGGTATCTAATTACAGCTTTAACCTTTCTGCATTTCATGACTTCAGTACCATTCATTAATCTAATTTTGTTAGGGAAACATAACATATCATCATTTGTAGCAGCTATATAAGATTGTTCAATTATATCATCATTAAGTACTTCAGGTTGAGCATCAGCTGTTTCTGCTATATCAGTTTTGTAATCCTTATAATAGTAAGCAGCAAACTCTGCTAGGCACATGTTAGTTACTGAAGTYATATAATTTGGTCTTATACTGTAACGTTCAATTATGTTGGACTTATATATGTCTGTACTATCGTCTTCTAAGTCATCAAGCTCTTGTTGGCTTTTAGCTACTCGRAATCGTTTTTGAGGCATATCTGTGCTAACAAAAACAGTTTTAGGAAATATCTTTCTCAACCAAAGCTCAGGCATGCAGCGATATATACTTTCTTGGGAACTTACTTCTCTWGAAGAAAGAAAAGCAGCACCAWTTTTTTTAAGCCCTTCWTTAACATTTAGGTTTGACTCTTTAGCCTCACGTGCAGCATTAACAATAGCTTGTGAGCATTCAGTTTCATCTTTTGTAAAATAACTACATACATATGTAATACATTTATAATGATTAAAGATAGGTTGGAGATCTACATTTGCAGCAAAGCCTTTAATCCCAGCTATGAAATAATTATTAGTGAAACAACTATCAAGTGGTCTTTTAAGATGTAAGCCATAATCAGAATCAGGTGATATTGATAATGCAGCTTCATATTCTTGTTTAGTTATACCAACATCTTTAAAAATATCTTCATCAGTAAGAGATGGATTATAGTCGGGTTTGCTAGGYTTCAGGACTTCATCTATTTTCTGCTTCACTGAAATAAGTATTTCTCTACATCTGTTTAATGTGCTACATTTAATTTCTTCATCCATATCATCTGGTAAAGGTTCAGATACAATAGTTCTATCAGTAAAGAACTGTCCAAAGTTAAACCTACATGCAATATTTTTGTATTTTCTACATGTTTTACTGTGGTTATGAGTTTGGTATTTTTTAACCAGTTCATACAATTCAGGTTCAGTGTCTTTGTCTGGTAAGTATGCTTGTACATGTTSGTCAATATATTCTATGTAGGCTTGTTTTGTATCATGAGTTAGCTTAGGGCAGTCTGATGTCCATATCAATGCATGTAAATGAGGAGAACCTCTCATTTGAAATTCTATACGGAGAGCATAATATACTATTTTACCTATTGGATTTACATCTGTTAGTAAAATCTCAGTAAAGAAAGTTTCTACTCTGTACTGAAAGTGTTTTGCTGTTATAACAGGATTAATATTTAGTAGTCTGCATTTTTCATCATATGATAAAGCATCTACTTCTTCGTRACTTATGCTTTTACCATTAGCTCTTGAAATAATTTGAAACAGTTCAGGCCATCTTAAGTCTGCACATMATAATGTCATGAACCATGTTGGTATACCAAGTTGTTTGACCATTGCAAGTACTTCATACATAAATTTTTGCCAGTAAGGAGGGGAACCGGGAATCTGTCTTAAGAATAGATAYGCRTGATCTTGAGATATAAGGTTTTTAAGTATTTCAGTATTTGATTTAACTTGTGATGCAGTTACTTGGTGACCATGAACTTTCTTAAGTGCTATATTTATACTATCAGATYCTTTTTTCTGTTCTATTATAAACTGTGCAAAAAATAGATATTCAGGATTCATAGCGAATCTACCACTATAATGCAATAATCTTGTATTGAAATATTTAACAGGTGATAATTTTATATCTCTTTCAGCAGTATATCCAAATCTACCTTTAGGAAATAATACAGGAAATGCAAGTTCTTCACAGAATTTGTCAGTCATCAAAGATACTGGATGCTTATTTTCACCTGGAGCAACATTGTAAATCTCTCTTCCAGTAGAAACATTAGCACTGTTTTCTTCTAGAATAACTGGGTAATCTGGAAATGTAGGTTCTAAACATGTTTCATTAGTGGGTGATCTGTGTTCATTTAAAGGGTCATCTTGTTCTTCTTSCAAGGTTTCATTACCAGTATTTATTGTATCAGTAGAAGAGCTAGAAACGTTCATGTCATTAACTACRATAGGTCTAGGAATGTTTTCTTGTTRAGTACTAGTGTTTTGTGTGCTATCTTCTGGCTCAGTTATATCTGTGTGTTCTCTGCTAATATTTGAACAGTCAATMGCAATATCTTTATATAATGTKTTGTTTGCTTTAAGCCATGTGAGTGCTGCTTGTATGAATGATGGTCTCACAGCTTCAAAGTATACATGACCTCTAAATTTTAGTTTTCTTTTTAACTTCAACATAATAATGCCAGATCTCTCAGGAGGTCGGGGCAGAATGTGACATGTCTTATCACATTGTACTGGMACATTACAAATAGAACCTTTAATCTTACGTTGCTGGCCTTTTGGCATAATTACAATTTTTTCAAATACTATGCGCTGTGCTATCAATATTTGTTCTAATTTTCGTAGATATTGAAGCTCAGCTGGTGCATCATCAACAAACAAGTTGTTTACAATTGCCTGACATGGAATTATATTCTTAACACACTTTGAATGACATGTTTTGCAGATATACTGTTTCCCATCAAATGATACTTTGATTGCAAACATATGTTGAAATGGGTATTTATTTGTTACTAAGTTTATGACTGATTTCTTATATAGATTACGGTTACATACACAACATACATAATAGGGGCCTTCTCTTATTTTCWTTTTAAACTGTTTGATACATGAGTCTAGATCTTTACTCTTATTACTATAATATCTTTCACCTTGCTTATCCAATAATTGTTGTTTTTGTACYCTGTTCATTGATCTATATTTTTCACRWTGCTTATCCAATAATTGTTGTTTTTGTACYCTGTTCATTGATCTATATTTTTCACRWTGCTTATCCAATAATTGTTGTTTTTGTACACTGTTCATTGWTCTATATTTTTCACTTTGCTTCTGCAGTAGCRCCTGTTTCTTATCAGTATCCATTGATTTATATTTTTTGCTTCTTCTGTAGTTTATATCTCGCTTATTCGCATTGTACGTCAATTGTGTCTTTTCTAGCATTATTTTTTTCTTTGGTGGCTCCATTTTTTCATAATTTTTTCTCTGTCTTTGATTATTCATCAATCTTTTCCTTTCATTTTTGTCCATGTTACAAGCACATGATAAAAACTGTAGTTTATATTGTTCTAGTTTAGAACTCATTGGCCTTTTAACACTSATAATAGTATCTACAAGTGAACCTGTTCCATCAATATGTTTTGTGTGTTGAAATGGTGGTGTTTTTGATTCATCGTAAAGCAAAATTAAGTATGATTTCTTTTTTGTAGTTTTATAAGATATACAACACATGCAGTAAGTTGAAAACCAAATCAAAAAGCCAGAGCTCTTAATYTTATTGTTAATGACATCTTCAAAAGTAGACTTACTTTCTAATGAATCKGACAAAACTCCATTTATTGTAGTATCAGTTTGACAAGTTACTTTAGCCCCACAAATATTAATGGTGTGTGGGATATCATCTGATGTAATATTACYATTTAAACTGAGATGATTGTGTAATATTTTTCCGCCATCTACAATATTCTTCAAAGTATCTGAATTCCATTTGGTGAATGATTTCACTYAAGAATAACAAATTGCATAAAGAGCTGCAGTACAGGTAAGGTTAAAATTTTTGTTTTGAGTGGGAATGTTTTCTACATGCATTATAGTACGTTCAACTTTATTGATACTTACACCTTTTACTTCAAATACAGCATTGTGTATACTTTTAAAGTACAGAATCAAGTTATCTAATGATAAGAATTCCATTAACACACAGGTACCATTAGTATGGCTTCTACCATAGAAATCCCTTGCATGAGAGTCAAATACTTTAAATCCTCTATCTCCGTGACAGTATATAGCAACAGCAATACARCCTATTGTTAATATAAAACTGGTAAAATGGTCAGACATTAAAGATTGGAATGCAGTTTGTAATGAAGTGCAATTTTCATATCCTTCTATCATAATTTCTCCATGTATATTTCCTGTAAAACTCTCGCTATAATGAAATTCATAATCAGTATCAAARACAGTTAAGTRTGTAGGTAGTTCTGATAGCATAAGGAATGACTGTCTTGCTGACTGTGACAATCGTGTATATAACTGATTTCCAATATCCATTATCTTTACAAGATCATTTGATGAATTTATTCCACTGTTGTTATAATTATAAATTAAAGAACATAAGCTCATAGCAACACATTGTTGTCCTGCACTTGGACCAAAGATGAAAGCATTACCTTGGCTATATGGTGCTGATATCGTCTTGCTTGCATCAACATACAGTATATCATTTGGTCCAGGATTCTTCTCTATGTCGTTGTACAATTTAGATTTGCAGTAGTTCATCACATGTGACTGGGTCTTATAATGAGACATCGTACAAGAAAGCAAGGATATATATCGACTAACTTTGCGTCTGAATCTTCTGTGAGAAATAAGCCCTCGTGTACCAATCCCCTTGTAGTTTAAAACGGAATGCTTGCTTTTAACATTTACACAGTTAATATAATGATGTAACTTAGAAGACTTCGGTATATTTCGGCGTATTCTATGATAAACAGTCCGRCTAAGGTTTCTATTTTTACTGTTTAAACTRCTTATTAATCGTTTTGGTATCCTACTTGGCTCACGACTACGARGACAGCGCAAACGTCTATAATTATAATAAACAAACCTTGAATAACGAGATCTGTTTTTACTTGTATTCTTTATTGTGATTTGAGCATCAATATGTGAGCTAAAACGTACAGACAAGCATCTAGTTTTATCTAACACATCACAATCACTGTCGAGTGAAGAAAGATAGTACTCAAAGAAAGTGAGTGATTTGTAACCAAGAATAATAAAAACTATATTTAAGCTTATTAAATATAAGGTAAAACTAAAACTACTTCCTTGGAATGAAAATAGTAAAAAAAGCAATGTATTTAATATTACACTTGTTGACCAAGAGTTGTCCTTACTTTGATAGACATTTGGTCTAATGRAAACGSCATTCGCTGTTACTTTGTTTGAATCTGTAATCCTTGTTATTTCACCTGTAGAGTMTTGTTGACAATCGGCATTTGAATCTATGGTTCTTTTATAGTTGTTATAGCTTTGAATATCAGTAGCTTTTAAGATACAAGGTTTGTAGTTCATGATTGGCTTTGGATAGATAAATGGCTTGTGTATCATAACGTAATTCACAATAAGCTTGATAAATTCGCAGTATTTTTCAAAAAGCCCATTCCGAAACCGCTCGATATCTTTTAATGTTGCTATACCGCGAATTGTGTGTGGATTTGTAAGTGGTTTGAGCGTATTTTTTGAAGACGAAGCCATACCATAAGTCGGTCGACGAAGAAG